TTACAAGGGAAGGATGGTAGGTCGAAGTGGCCATTTGAAATGAAATGTATACCGGCTGAAAGGTCTTCGGACGGGAATTACGAAACCGTCTTCCATATCTGCTGCGGACCTCCCAGAAAGAAGTTACGGAGCTTTTTAGGGGAGAATACACTACGTAATTGGCGGCGTAAGGCTGACGAGATCGTGGCAGCATGGCCGAGTGGATACGTCGTAGGGCTCACGGATGCGTGGTCGAGGGTTTGGATCCTTGATGCGTGTGCCTTTTGCATTTTTTCGAAAGTGGTCCCTGTGCACTTCAAAGCTATTTTGCATAACACTTGTCCGTGATAATGTCGTGACGTAATGATTCTGAACTGATGGAGCCACTGCGAACCATTCCATAGAGATCACCTTCTGGGCACTATTGAACTATTCCTGCCCCAGAAACTCAAAAAATTTTTTCGCTGAAACGTTGCCTATAGATGAATTCAACGCGCTGATCACGAATATAACATCCGTTTCGAGCGCTGGCGTCATTTGGCGCCATTATGCGCCAATTTGGCGCCCACCACTTTTTTCACCAAAGTCGATGAAAACTTGCATATGGGGGTTAATTGAGGTCCTGATTACGAATCCAGCATTTATTTTTGGCGCTGGCGCCATTTGGTGCCATTACGCGCCAACGCTATATTGGCGCATGATGACGCCAGCGCTTGAAACCAGTGTGATATTCGTAATCAGGACCTCAATTGACCCCCATATGCAAGTTTTCATCAACTTTGGTGAAAAAAGTGGTGGGCGCCAAATTGGCGCATAATGGCGCCAAATGACGCCAGCGCTCGAAACGGATGTTATATTCGTGATCAGCGCATTGAATTACATCTATAGGCAACGTTTCAGCGAAAAAATTTTTTTGAGTTATTTGGGGTAGGGGTAGTTCAATAGTGCCCACTTTCTGGCTGTTGTCTTCTTCTTTCTTTGATTTGAAAAGCATACACAACAAAAGTGCATTCCAAAAGAAGATTTTGCTTTCAAATGACTTTATTCTCCAAACGACATGACTGGAAAACGAATCCGAACGCACGTTGTGCACGAAGATGAGTATAGTGGGAAAATGCTTCCATATGAAGTGGCGTTGATGTGACAATCATGCTGCTGGAGATCGCGATGGGCAAGAGCTTCATTCACCACTCACATAATGTTGAATTATGTCTATCTCAAAGTGTTTTCGTACCTGCTGGAAGTTTTCGGCTCGTATGACAATCTTTTCAGCCGGAGGTGATCTCCATGAAATCGTTCGCAATGGCTCCATCAGTTCAGAATCATTACGTCACGACATTATCAGGGACAAGTGTTATGCAAAATAGCTTTGAAGTGCACAGGGACCACTTTCGAAAAAATGCAAAAGAGCACACGCATCAAGGATTCAAACCCTCGACCACGCATCCGTGAGCCCTACGACGTATCCACTCGGCCATGCTGCCACGATCTCGTCAGCCTTACGCCGCCAATTTGTAGTGTATTCTCCCCTAAAAAGCTCCGTAACTTCTTTCTGGGAGGTCCGCAGCATATGGAAGACGGTTTCGTAATTCCCGTCCGAAGACCTTTCAGCCGGTATACATTTCATTTCAAATGGCCACTTCGACCTACCATCCTTCCCTTGTTAGGCGGTTTGCAGGATTCTGTTGGCGCCCTTGGCGCCTATCTGTCCCAGCTCACCCGGCTGCCCTATTCCCTCGCATTTTACAAGAGCGTAGACAACCACACTTCACGCGGCCTACACAGTAGCGCCACTAGCACTTTCGCACAACGTCGGCACCAACGAGACTTGGTACGCCTTGGTAAAAGAAAACAAAACTTAGAGCGCGTTCAGACTTCGCGATCGCGCGATCCGATCGCGCTACTGAGGGTGAAATTACTGCGGGAGGGGGTTATGTGCGTATATGTTTATTGATCCTGCTCTCTCTCTCTCTCTCTCTCTTTTCCTTCTTTCTTCCTTTGTGTACATAACGCCCTCCTAATTTTAAAGAACGTTTCGAAATATCTTTGAGTTATTTATTATTTCCTATGTAAAATAGTACTAAATATACAATATGCTAATTATTATACTGAATTTTGCATCTGAGTACGTTCAAGCGGAGTATTGAACATCTTGTTCCAAAAGTAAGACACGCAGAACTTTCAACAGCGGGTGATGTTGTTTCTCTCCCTTCCCCCGATTTTGCCAGTCCTCCAGATATTCACTTTACTTTTGTCACATTGTGTTGCTTTGTTTGTTCTGCCATCCTCCAGGTCTATACACAACCTTTCCTTTCGACGGTTTCTGCAAACGTCAGTATTGCGAATATGAACACGGAATAAAAGACATCAAAAAAGGTCGAACTTACTTTTATATCGTTTTTGGAACTGCCTATTGGAGGCAGGATACAGCATCGTGATGTGAGAAATGGTGATATTAGTACGCTCCCTTCCCAGAACTTTGTTGTTTGTTGTTTGTTGAGTTGAGTTGAACATGAACGAACATGACCCCCTCCCGCAGTAATTTCACCCTCAGTAGCGCGATCGGATCGCGCGATCCAAGCGATCCGATCGCGCGATCGCGAAGTCTGAACGCGCTCTTAGCCACAAAATTTACCTGGAAGCCGAGCACTTGTACTCCTTTTGACATCCACCAATTTGGCACTGCAAATCGTTGTACGTCATCGTAGGATATGCTTTCTTCATCTGAAGGAACATACATTGTCATCAAAACAGGTAGAACAAACGTAAAACAAAGACCCTACCATGTCGCTCAATATTTCCACATAATCAGATTCTGTATGATCCTTTGGCATATGATTGGCAGACACATGTTGCTTTCGAATGACTGAAACAGTTAAAATACAAATACAGATACAAGAGAAGTATAAAGCACACGCGAAACCGTGGCCTCGTCACGAGCGGGTCGCGCTTTCCTCACGTATTTTTTCAAACTGCTGAATGAGTATATCATCCATCGTTGCGAACAGGACTACCTTGTTCGAAAAAAAGCGTTCGAACATCAAATGAACGTGCACCGTGCCCCTACGGTTGTTGATGAAGGAGCAGTGCACGAGACTAACCGTGTTCGTTATGCTCGTGTGCAGTTCACCGGGAGCAGCCAAGTTCACCGAGCACTGCATCGTTGAGTGAACGCACAAGAGACAAGAGGTGTCCAGCTTGCGATTGCCCCCCCCCCCTCCCCCTTTCCACACGCGCAGACTATCTCGCTTCTATAATCGGCAGCATTCTAACCTGAGGCCAAGCAAAAAAATAATAGAACACACTGAAGCAAGTTTCTAGCTCGTGCAGCTGAAATAACTTCAAGAATTGTACTTACTGTATTCAGACGGTGTCGTTGTTTTACAAATTGTGCACCGCACTTCAGATGGTGTGGTTCGCAACGCTTCTCCCAGGAGCTGTGTAGCACTTGAAATAGTTGGACCCCCCGAGTCCTGAAATGAGAAGAACCATGGTCTATGCAACGTTATGCAACATGAAGGATTTAAAAAGAACCAAGTTACGAGAGACTGAATCATCGATTACCACTTCTATTCTGGTCCAGTCATCGGCCGGTTTCCACTCGAGGTTCCCTGGACTCTTCGTAAACTTCGGTAATTTTGCCGACGACTCTTAAACATCATAAACCATAAGAATGACTACTGATACAAGAAGAATTTCTCAATGGACGATCAATGTAAGTGCTTCAAAGCATTTTAGGATTAACTCGCTTTTATTATGGATGTGTTTACCTCTACCATTTTCATCGGCTGACTTTGGTATAGATTTCGGAGGAGATTTCACTCGTAGGGAACTGAAATTGAAGAGAACACAATGATTGACTGTAATACAAGCTGAAAGAACGGGCAACCTCGAAGGTGGCTGGTCCTGGCCAGGTGATGCATCAACGTTACGCTTGGCATCAATAAGCGTCCTCGATTGCTTATTCATAACAGTATCACTGGAATGAAGAAATTTATCACGAAAACATGTCAAAATGCTTGAAGAGTGGTTGTGTATCATCTGTGACAAGAAAATACCTTGACGACGTTTTCTCCTGTACAGTAGGACTACCAACATTGCGTTTGACGCCGTAACGGACTGTTTAGGTAACTGTTCATGCGCTACTCCACTGAAAATCGTAGATTACCTTAGCCAGGGGCCAAGAGAAAAAATAGTGTGACCCCAATTCGAAAACTTACCAACATGCCGAAAACGATACGATGCAACCGGAAAAAAGTGAAAGGATAAAGGATAAAGTTTTCACGGTTGATCAATACCTTTTCGGAGTGTACGCTTTTTAATTTACTTTACCAACTCTCAGCATGCTGTAGTGGCTTATTGAGTTCTATACGGCCCACACAATGAGTTGTGAGGACCAGTTGATGTACAAATCAGTGTTCCCATCCTGCCAGACGGTTCGGCACCAATTCACCGCACTGTCCCAGCAGGGTGGAAGGCTTGATTTGCCTTGGGACCCTCGGACTTGGAAGCGCAGTAAGCGTGCCACTTGCCACGCGAACCATCTCCTCGCTGAGGAAGAGTGAGACGCTGTAATACCGTTGCGCCTTCTCCTAGCGCAGCCTTCAAACATGAACAGAGCTGAGGCGCTTACGACATTCATGCGAGAGGCCTGGCGACTAACTTCCAGAATTCATGCGCTTCAAAGTGTGTAGGGACGCGTCTATAGTAGTAGCTTCTGTACATACTGCGACGGATCGTATTTGACCACCGGTGTTCCGAGAAAGAACTTCTTTCTGGCGCGGAAGCTAGTCTCGAATTCATTGAAAAAAGGTGCGGTACTGAATATTCCATCGCCGCTTGCTAGGTTTTCTTTCGTGAAATTTCGAGGTGAAGGTGGTAAGAAGATAGACAAGGACTCAGGTTGAAAAATGTTGACTTGAATAGCAACTTCTGTCAAAGCATATTCTTCTGCTTAAGCCATTCTATGTACCGATTTTCAGGAGGGTCAACTCGTAGAAGCCATAAAAAGACGATTACAAGACTCTCTTTGCATAGGGAAACTAGGGTACAGAGAACCGGAAAAAGTCAAATAACCATGCTAAAGTGTCGGTGCTGTGAGGCTGTGGCTCAAAAAAGCCGCTAAGCTGAGAGGGTAAATGGATGGAATAACGGACAGTGCCCCCTCCGGAAAGCGTGAGGTGCGGTGTGCGGCCTCAAGTCCCGCCTCGGGTCAATACTTTTGCCCACAGCTCAGCATTCTCGTGATAAAAAAGACTTCGTCAAACAATTCCGAGTCAAGAAAAAGAGAGGAAGGCGCATAAGCATCACCATGCTAGATTTGCTTTACTTCTCTGCATAATGAGGGCGTCGAATCCATGGAGAGCAACATATTCAACATCTTTCAGGAGCTGATTGGCGTATAGTTCACAATACGGCGATACTTTCATCTGAAATTGAAGTCTAAGAACGCGTTCAGACTTCGCGATTGCGCGATTCACTTCCGAACTGGATGACGCGATCGCGAAGTCTGAACGCGCTCTAATAGGTAGAAAGAAAAGAGAAGCACAAAGCTAATGTATGAACCTCGTATGTATGGATATGTCCTCTTCGCTTGCAATGGAGTTCCCTTTCTTCTTCAGTGTAGAAAAGCTCAGTACAGGTTGTGCACTGGTACTTCCTGAAATCAGAAATGGTCTAATGTGTCGTAAAAGAACTTCTCACAGTACAAAGCATAACCGATCCAATGTAGGCGAAACTAAGCGGGTAGAGTTACCTATAACCAAAAGAGCTGTAAGGTTTAAAGAGTTGAAAGCAGCCCACGGCACCATTAAACAATTCCTACCC